ACCAGCAATTGCTGGTGCGTGTACGTGCTGGTAGACGGTGGCAGACGCTAGCCTATACTTTCCTAGTCGCTGACGCTAACTGACTCTCGGAATGCTGCCTAACGAAGAAGCCTTTGATTGGTGAATAGTAGGACAATATGATATCATTGTTTCCTTCTATGGTACCACAGAACTTCACTCCTGTTAGCTGCGGACGCTGAAGCATTTCAGGCGGCTGGGTTTAACACAACATCAAAATGTTCTCCACCCATTGTGGAAGTTGGCGCACGAGACTGTACCTGACTGTGTCATTGCGGAGAAGTACGAACAACTGACCAACGGTTTTGTTTGCTGCGGATGATGGTGCTAGTCATGGGGCAGCACCAGCCCTTTCTCCATCATCTGTTCGTTGAAGCGTCCATTCGACAACACTGGGTGGGAAAATGGGATGGCGCTGCGCTCAACGCAGCCTTCTGAGGCCGCGTTCATACAGACGGCACCCGCGGCACCCGTGGCCTCCGCGGCCTCCGCGGCCTCTGCGGAATTTCCAAATCGATACGTATACTTTGCTTGCTCTGAAAATTCCGCAGAGGCCACGGATGCCGCGGATGCCGTCTGTATGAACGCGGCCTGAGCGCCCTAGCACTTAGCAAACAAAACTACAGCTCCATTAGCACGGTTCGAACAAGTGGGTTAGCAAATCGTTGTTATCTTACATGTGAAGGTTCGCCATCACGACTCTAACAGAACCCAAAAAACATTCTGTTCTGAGGAGCAGGTCCGCTTATAGTCGTAGCTTCCTGTCTTATCCTCTCCGTGTGCTCAACAAATCCCACTCCTATTAACAAATGACCATATTGCCCAGCGGTACAGCATCGGAACGGACGAAAATTCCACCATGACCCTCTCGTCCAGCACGGTTCCCTTTTTCCCCATCCCAACCACCATGTTTCCATGTAGCCCACACCCCCTACAAATGTTCCCAATTCCGCGAAGAATTGTCCAGCTTTTTTCCAGAGGGGGAACATTTCTCGAAAAAAATTCTTTTGGAGCCTAAAACGACTCTCATCGAATAAATGCGGCCCTTTCCGCAGCGACCAGGTACGCCCCACCCCAAAGGGACTCTTCCACCATGCTGTACAATGCACAATGCTTGCATTTGCAACCGGCTATTTCTGATAGCAGTTGGAAGCTTTCACGTTTTCCCGGCTAGTAACGGAGGGATAGCAGTACGTTCTTACTGCACCTTGCTACATATATAACGCAGATGAAATGGGAAAAGCCGGGAAAGATAACAACAGGAAACATTTCTCCCGAAGATAAACACGACCCTCCCTCCTTTCACTGGACGACATGCCCTGGTTGGCCTTAGGGTTTCCCACAGCCTTGGCGGTCGGCAGTTTTGGTGAAATTTTACATGGAGCTCAATCTCCAGTGTTCTTTTTGCAAACAGTTTGAATTGAAACCACTTTTATCTTGTAACCGAATGTCATTCTACCACGTAAAATCAACAATTCGAAGGACTAGGTAAAACGATAAGGATTTATAAAAAAGGCCTTGAAATCGCGCCATCGAATCCCTGTGCTGAAATTTTTCACATTTTGCAGCCAGCGGTAGACGGCTGTAAAGTGTGCGACTACGGCACATTTACCATTTAGGCGTTATTCGTGCGCGGGACTTCTCCTTCAAAAAGGAGGGAGGGCATCGATCGCGCTGGAGGGTGTGTTCTTTGAACTGTTTACGAATCTTATTTTGTGCTTTTTTTTCAGTTTCAGGCCCTTTACCGTAGCAGTCGGTCAGTAGTAATTAGCTGCCTTCTAGCTCTCACGCTTTGTTTTAAGTTACTTTCCAAGAAGAAGATAGGAGTTTTTCACATGTAATTTTCGATGTTTCAATGGTAATTTTTTTCATTTAGTTCTTAATGGTGACCGATATGCAGAAAAATGTATATGGTGGGGAAGTTTATCCGTTGAACTGGAAATAGTGGTATTCAACAACTTCATTTGTTCGGGCTTTCCTAGATTATAGTCGGTGAAAAACTTCAGTAATGACCCTATGTAACCACACCGCAACAAAAAAGAGCC